GGGGGTCTCCCTGACCCGTGAGGGTCAGAAGAGGTGTGAACGACCACGCTGGGCACCCTGGCTGCCCACGGCTAAGGTCAGTTCTTGGGACATGGCCACTGGGACAGGCTCCAGTCATCCCGCCTGCAGACAACAGGCCAGACACCCCAGTGGCGAAGGGCCTGTCCAGTGGGCTCGGAGGGGACAGGACAAGGCAGAACTGCTGAGGCCAGAAAGACTAAGCAGCGGGCCCATCCTCACCTCCCAGATGCACGCTCTCCACTTGCTGGGGAAAACTCCCTTTCAGGGGCAGCAGGAAGTGCAGGCATTTAGGGGGAACCTCCCTGCAAACAAAGCTCTTGACCAAACCCTGCTGACAGGCAGCTGGCCCATCAGCCATCCTGGGGCAGGGACTCAGGACAGTCAGATGATCACCCTCAGTGGCCACCCCAACCCCCCACGTTCACCTGAGCACTCTGCCGACTGCCTGCAGCACCATTTTGCAGCTGAGTCCAGTCTTGGGGGGCTGGCTGAGCAAAGCCCGGTCTGCAGGGAGGCTGCTCTGGTCCCCCAGCATGCTGAGGTGGAGAGGGAAGTGGGAGCCCCGGCACCAACGCTGCTCCCTCCCTCCCCGGACAGCCTGGGGCCAGGGACAGCAGCCAATGAAGACGCAGGGGAAGGAGGGCTCTGCCTGGCAGACACACAGCTGCTCCTTTCATGGCCTAGGCGGCCAGTCTGGTTAGAGGAGGGCGTGTCTCCATGGACTTTTCAAAGTGGCGCCTTGCGGGCGGGTGCTGTGTAGGGAGGGCAAAGCCCCAGGGGAGGACCCGTCAGCGAGGTTGGGTGGCACCTCCAGGCACTTCTGAAGCAGCTGGGAGAGCTCTTCTCAAGAGTGGGGGCAGCTCTGCCCAGGAGCTCCTGGGCTGACAGCACCCCTGGCCCGACAGCAGCCCAAGAAACCAGTGGGTGCCCAGCGGGCTACAGTCACAGGCCGCTGTCACCTGCAGAGTGGAGCCGGGCTCGGGCACACCCCCATGCGGACAGCCTTGGTAAAACAAGGCTGGCAGGCTCTGGGGCATTCTTACCAGGCACGAGCTAGCCAAGGCAGAGGCCGCCTCTGCAGCCGCCAAGGGCAGCAGGCCTGGAGAGGACATCCACAGCACCTTCCAGTGGGTGTGGAGAAGCATGGCCAGGCCTCCCCACAGGTCTGCCAAGGCCCTGTGCTCACATCCCCACCCACCTCAGCCCTGTCTTCCACCCGAGGCCACAACCCACAAAGGGCCCTCCGACCTCCTCACCTGTCCAGGTTCAACCCAGCTCTGCACTGTGGCAACTCCAAAGCCACCTCGAAGACAAATCAACAGGCTGCCTCTGTCCTGGGGACACCACACACAGAGCACTGGCTGCCCATGAGGACCAGGGCAAACCGGCCCCCCACAGAACGGCATCCCCACAGCCACCCAGAGCGTCCGGGGACAGACACCACTGGGACGGCCACAGCCCAGGCAGCTAGAATCTGAGCACTTGAAGGTGCTTCTAGGTTCACCATGTCTCACTCCCTGCCCTGGTCCTAGAACCAGCCTCTTCTACCCTGGCTCCTTCCACCTGGGAAAAATGAACCCTGACCCCGGCACCAGTGAAACGCTGCTGCTGGCCCTCGGCTGACAGCACACTGGACACGCGTGCACATCTGTACACCTCAGCCCCGGCGACACAGACGTCTGCATGCAGATCAAGCTGCACCCCGTCCCTCCCGACGCCCCCACTCTGGCCCTTTGCCCGTGGGTCACTGCAACTTCCCCTGGGCTTGTCTGTAACGTGCCCCAGACACAGAACACGGCAGAAATAAAGTGGTGTAAAGAGAGCCTTGAACAGGGAGGCAAGAGGGCTCTGAGGATCGGGACTGAGAGCTCCTAAATATCTAGGGAGCTACAAGACACTCAATGCCAACATGTGGGGAGCACAAGGCCAAGGGACACTCATTCCCACTTTTGAGATGATGGAGAAACTGATGTGGGCCTGGATCACCATCACCACCACCACCACCTGCAAACTGGGTGAAATACAAAGCCAGTGGCTGCAGACGCTGACCACCAGCTGAGGCACAGGCCAGGCCCTGGCAGGCAGGGGAGGGCTGGGTGGTGAGCAGCTGCTGCCTACTGGAGGCTGGTATGGAGGTGAGCACACAGCTGGGGCTGCTGGAGTGTGCACGGTGGGGACCAGACAGGAAGGGCTGCCCGGGAAGGGACTCAGGGAACATGGACAGAGCAGACCAAGCCTCTGGCCAACCACTTGGCTGAGGGCGTGCAGGGCCTGGCAAACGGCTCCAAGGGCAGGAAGACAGAGTGCTCCCACACCAAGTGGAGACCAGGGCCCCGCTGAAGGGAGCAGGGCTGCAGCAGCTCAGAGGAAGGGTCTCTAGACAGGCCCTCAGAAGGCTTCCCCTGAACCAAGAGCAAGTGAGCGCCTGCTGGAACCACCACAACACTCTTCACCAAGGACCTCAGCAGCTGGGCCACCACAGCCAACGTAACATATACATGTTAGGCCCTGGCCAGGTGCTCAGTGGTTAGAGCATCAGCCCGCAGACTGAAGGGTCCCGTGTCCGATTCCGGCCAAGGGCACGTACCTCGGTTGCAGGCTCAATCCCAGGCTGGGGAGCATGCAGGAGGCAACCAGTGTGTCTCTCTCATCGATGTGTTTCTCTCTCTCCCTTCCACTCTCTCTGAAAAGCAATGGGGGGAAAAACATCCTCAGGTGAAGATTAAATATAAATACCCCCCCCCACACACACACACACAGGAGATAAGCAAGGAAACAGAAAGATGCAACCCACAATCAGGAAAATAGGAACAGACACAACAAAAACATTGAAGGTGACAAAAATTTTAGAGCAACAAAACCAAATATATTCAAGGATTTAAAGAAAAAGGTGCACACAGTGAATGAAAAGATTAAGGCTTGCAAAAAGGTAGGAAACTCCAAAAAACACAAATAGGAAGTTCTGAAACTGAAGACTATGATATCTGGATTGAAATTTTATAGGAAAGACTTAACAGCTGATTAAATTATGCAAAAAAAGATTGTAACAAACATATAACATCCGTAGAAGCCCTGGCCGGGTGGCCCAGTTGGTTGGAGCGTCGCCTTGTGCACCAAAATGCTGCAGGTTCAGTTCCCGGTCAGGCACATGCCTAGGTTGTGGGTTTGATCCTCAGTTGGGGCGTGTACAGGAGGCAGCCGATTGGTGTTTCTCTCTCACATCAATGCTCCTCTCTGTCTCCCTCCCCTCCTTTCTCTCTAAAATCTATTTAAAAAAACAAACATATTCTCGGGTGAGGATTTAAAAAAATGTGTAGAATGCAATTAAAGCCAGGCTTGGGGGAAGTTTATAACCATAAGTGTTTGTGTTCGATGAGAAGGCTTGCCTTGGCCGGGTGGCCCAGTTGGCTGGCATTGCCCAGTGCACTGAAAGGTAGACAGGCCAATTCCCGGTCAGGGCACGCGCCGGGGTGGCAGGCTGGGTCCGCAGTAGCGAGCATGCAGGAGGCAGCGGATCTGCATCACACCCTCACATCAGCGCTTCACTCTCTCTCTTCCTCTCCCTTCCAATCTCTCTAAAAATCAATTTAAAAACCTTAAAAAAAAGAAAAAGGGCACTTAAAGTCAACAACCTACTGTCACCTCAGGAAGCTAGAAAAAAAGTGTGCACTAAACCCAAAAGAAGGAATAAAGATGATAAAAAACTATGACACAGAAAACGGACAAGTGAATTCATTAAACACAAAGTTACCTTTGAAACGTTTAGGACACTGATGAGTCAGCCAGCAAGGCAGGTGGAAGGGGAGACGCAGCCAGGTCAGAGAGGAGACATCACCACAGACCCACAGGCATGGAGCAGGCCAAAGGGCTTCCGTGGACAGACAACTTCTCGCACAAACACAAGTTACCAAAACCGACACAAGAGAAATTAACCTTTCTATGCAGACACGTTAGGTGCAGGTGGCTTTATGGGTGAGTTGTACCGGATCTATAAGGATATAATGCCACGTGCACACATGCTCTTTCAGAGAACAGAGGGGGAAACACTACCCAGTTGATTCAATTAGGACAAAATAAGGCAAATTACAGGGCAGCCTCCTCCCTGAACATAGTTATCACACTCCCTGCGAATGTCAGCAAACTGGATCTAGCCTGTGTGTGTGCGCATACACGGGTGAGGGGGTGCGTGTGTGCACGTGTGTAACTGCCAGGCAGCTGTGCTCCTTTCCTTCTAACCCCTTCCCTCACCTCCCAGGCCACGGTCACCCACACTGGGCTCAGCCACACCAGCCACACACCCCCGCCCGCCAAGGCCTTCCTGCTCCTGCTCTCCCCCCAGGCTCTCTCTTGTCCTTTGGGTTCTGCTCATGGCCAACACCAGCTGTTGTGCTCACTTGGCTCCTGGTGCATACACCTGGCATGCGCCCTCCCATCACCTCTACCAGGGAGCAACGTCTGGAATGCAGGGCGTCACCCAGCATGTTGAAGGCTGCATCCCAGCACCCACAGCAATCCTGGGAATGTGTGGGGCCACATCCTGCCTGATTTAAATGAACCTGCTGCACAGTGTTGTCCTCCCTGGGAACTCCTAGGGACAGTCAGACGACATTCAGTGACATGTCCTTTCTCTGAACAACTGTCTGCTACTGATGGCCTTCAGCTCAGGGGAAGGGTCGCCACGTCCATGGTCACCACTGCACTGACTTCACCCTGCGGTTTGTTTGAGCTGCCACAGAAACAACAGAAGAAGGCACTTGGGCAGCACCCGCAGGGTATATGTCAAAGGAGACAGCAGGAGGGGGCCTGGGCTGTGGGGATGCTGACTTTGGAGCCACTGGTGCAGGGACTGAAAGAAGCCATCTCTGCACCTCCCCTGTGGGCCAGGTCCACTAGCCACCAGAGTGACCATGGAAACAAGGCTCAGGGTGGGCCTGGCCACAGGACCCACAGCGGAGTGGTGACCACCCTGCCCCTGGCCCAAGTGAGCCTTCGTACTGGCATCTGAGCGGGGTCTGCCAGGGTGGGGCTCGCCCTGCACGCCACACACACCCACCACCGCCCTGTACAACCACGTCCAGGGAGTCAGGGAGACTTTGTGGGTGGAGGCCGAGAGAACCTGCAGGGGTCAAGCTGGAGGTGAAGCCACCAAGGTGACCATGGAAACACCAAGACACCGGAGCTCCCCGACTAGGGAGGAGGGGGTTAGCTACACACTGCATCCGCCAGGGGCCAGGGTGGTAGCACACACGGAGAAGGCAGAGAAATCCCGCACACTCCAAACACCACCCAAACCGTTCTGTTCCAAGTTCAGGTCAAGCCAAACTTCAAACAATCACAGTCGCTGTTGGAGCTGCCGAGTCATCCTGCCTGGCCCCTGGCCACTGCTGACCACAGGGGCACGGGTACCCAGGCCTCAGGGCAACCACTTCTGGCAAGTCCCCCCTCTGACCCTGCACCACATCAGTTAGACACGTGCCTGCCCAGCCTGGAGCACCGACAAGGCGACTGTCAGCCTGGGCACTGACAAGGTGGCCCAGTGGTGGCAGGCTGGCTGGGACCCCTGAGTAAACAGCAACCCTGTTTAATGCAGCAGAACACCCCCCCTGCCATGCTGGGGAGGGGTGAAGCCCCCG